GGATAAAATCGATAGTTTATATTTAGATATAGCAAATTATATGCCCTTCAAAGGTGGATCTTATATAGATTTACCCCCGTATTATAAGAAGAAAAAAGCCATAATTAACGTAAAAAATAAATCCGATGACTGTTTAAGAATGATGATAAGATCTGCATTGTTCCCCGTAGACAAGCATCCAGATAGACCTTCTAGCTATCCCAAAAACGATGGACTCAACTTCGATGGTATAGACGAACCTACACCAATATCACAAATTGATAAGGTGGAAAAGCAAAATAATTTAGCTATAAATGTTTTCGGACATTCTTCTGAAGGAATTGTTGTACACAGGATAAGCTCCGCTCTGGAAAATATTCCCAGAATCAATTCATTTCTGATCGAAAAAGATGGTAAATATCATTATACGTGGATAAAGAGTTTAAACAGGCTACTATACGATCAAACAAAACATAAAGAAAAGAAATATTTCTGTGAAAGATGCCTACATGGGTACAGCAGACAAGATCTATTAGAAGCGCATAAAGAAGACTGTAGAGGTGTTGGACAGAATGCTATCAGGATCGATATGCCTAAAGAGGGAAAAAATATATTAAAATTTGAACATTATTGTAATCAAATGCCAGTACCGTACGTAATTTACGCCGACTTCGAAGCGCTTATCAAACCCATAGAAAATACTGAACACAATAATCAAGATAGTAGTTTTACGTACAAAACTCAAGAACATATTCCTTGTGGGTTTGGATATATAGTTGTAAGGTATGATGGGAAAACAAACACTCCTGTGATTTACAGAGGTCCCGATGCAGCGGGAATGTTCCTAGAATATCTACAAAATGAAGAGAGAATAATCAGGGAAAAATTATCGTGTAAGATACCCATGCGTATGACGAGGGATGATTGGAGTACCCATAAGAAGTCAACGAGTTGTCACGTTTGTAATAAACCCCTGGATGGGGATTCCGTAAGAGATCATTGTCACGTCACGGGTAATTATCGGGGAGCCGCTCATAACGAGTGTAACTTGAAACTAAAAATGAACTCTCAAACAATACCCATCCCCGTTGTGTTTCATAACCTTAGGGGATACGATTCACATCTCATTATGCAAGCTATCTCAAAGACCGACGGTGGTTTAACATGCATTCCTAATAATATGGAAAAATACATATCGTTCTCGTGTAATGGGCTTAGATTCATAGACTCCGTACAATTTCTGTTATCTTCCTTGGACAATTTAGCTAATGCGAACAATCCCGATGACTTCACGATAACAAATAAATATACCAATAAGATAACTCGTCATTTGTTGCTGAGAAAAGGTGTATATCCTTACGAATATATGGATGGTTGGTCTAGATTCGAAGAAACTGAATTACCACCCCTCGAATCATTCTATAGTAACTTAACAGAATCTAGAATAACAGATGCTGATTATGAACACGCTCTGACGGTCTGGGATAAATTAGGTTGTAAGAATTTAGGCGATTATCACGATCTGTACTTAAAAACTGATGTACTGTTACTAGCCGATATATTCGAGATATTTAGAAAGACATGTTTCAAACAATACGGCTTGGACCCGGCATGGTACTATTCCAGTCCAGGACTATCGTGGGATGCATTGTTGAAGAAGACCGGCGTAGAACTAAAACTACTCACAGATTACGATATGCACTTGTTTATTGAGAAAGGATTAAGAGGTGGTATATCGATGACAGCTAAAAGGTATTCTAAGGCTAATAATAAATTAGTGGAAGGATACGATCCCAGTAAACCCAACACACACATATTATATCTCGACGCCAACAATTTGTACGGATGGGCTATGAGTCAACCTTTACCCATGGGTGGTTTTGAATGGGTCGATGATATCCATAATATCGAAGCGAATAAAGGGTACATACTAGAAGTTGACTTGGAATATCCAAGTTCGTTACATAAAGATCATAACAGTTATCCGCTAGCTCCCGAAAGATTAATGGTTAATAAAGATTGGATGTCGGAATATCAACGCTCCTTGATGGGTAATAGTAGGTTAGCTAACGTAGAAAAACTCATACCAAATTTGATGGATAAAACAAAATATATAGTTCACTACAGAAATCTCCAGTTGTATCTATCGTTAGGTATGAAACTTAAGAAAATACACAGAGTTCTAAAGTTTGATCAAAGCCCTTGGATGGAGCCCTATATAAGGTTGAACACAGATTTAAGAAAGATAGCTACCAGCGATTTCGAAAAGGATCTGTATAAGCTCATGAATAACTCGGTATTTGGTAAAACTATGGAGAATCTAAGGAAGCGTGTTGATGTTAAATTAGTCAGATCTAATGAGGAAGAAAGACTCAGGAAACTTATAGCCAGTCCGGCTTTTAACAGAAGCAAGATATTCGATAATGACTTAGCCGCGTTGCATATGCAGAAGAGTAATATAAAATTTAACAGACCGGTGTACGTTGGTATGAGTATTCTGGACTTGTCAAAACACTTAATGTATGACTTTTATTACAACGAACTTAAGAAGCAATACAGCGATAGATGTGAGGTGTTATATACCGACACAGATTCTTTGTTGTTGGAAATACAAACCGAGGATGTGTATAAAGATATGGCAGAAAAAATAGATATGTACGACACGAGCGATTACCCAAAAGATAATCCACTGCACAGCGTTGTAAATAAAAAGGTGTTAGGTAAGATGAAGGATGAATGTGCTGGGACCCCTATAGTGGAGTATGTGGGATTAAGACCTAAGATGTATTCTATAAAGAAGTCTGATAATGGAGAGATAAGAAAAGCTAAGGGTGTTAAGAAGTATGTTGTAAAAAAGCATATCAAACACGAACAGTATAAAGAATCATTATTTAACGGTAGAAAGTTCAAACATGAGATGAACTCTTTAAGAAGTTACAATCATAGGATATATGGATTAAGAATGAACAAGACATCATTATCCCCCTTAGATACAAAGAGATGGATTGATAATGATGGTGTAAATACCTATGCTTATGGTTATGGTGGTAATACTGTACCGTCGGGAACTATGAACAACTCTTCTCGTACAAATGCCCTACCCGGTCCATCTTGAAGATAATAAAGAATAGGCTCTCCTTCTTTCATAACCAATCGACTAATGTTATACATCTTAAGGGACCATATGGGATCGGTTGCGCGACGTAGGCCTCCTTCGAGTTCACCGGCCTGGTATAAATATCTTACCCTTACTCTATCCGGAAGTTTTCGTTCTTTACCTCTCCTCGGTGCTGAAGATTTGGAAGTCACGGATTTCATTTTAATAGCATCGGATGGTTTCTTCCCTATTAATCTCGTTACTTCATTATTCAGCGCTGATACAACGGCTGATAATCGTGTCACCCATTTGGTTGATCTCAATCGCTCGGATTTCATTTCGATCCCATACTGATAGCCAAACAAACGTTCCGCTAATGTCCTGTTAAATCTTTCGACGATAGCTTGACTGCGGTGGGCCTCTCTTTCACCACGGACGATTTTGACATCGTTCTTTGTTAACAGTTTAGTTACCGATCCCATAAACTCACGACCGGGATCTACTTGAAATAGCTTAGGCCATTTTAGCGGTCCGCGTTTATATATGCGACTCAGTGCATTAGCTACCTCTGTTGATTCTTTCGATGTTAATGGCTCAGCCTCTTTGTATCGACTAGCCACATCCACTACTGTTAAAGCGTATTTATACGTTTTGCGTTTTACCTTATCGTGGGGAAGAAACAAGAGGTCAGCCTGATGAACTTCATTCGTTGTAAAAATATCAAACTTCTTCCTCGGTATATAACGCGGTGCCGGTAAATATATTTGCCACATCGCTTGTTTCTTTAACCAATCCTTGGCCACATCTTTAGATACCTTAGCCGCGGTGGCTAATTTTTTTATTGCTCCTACACCTTTCCAATATCCTTGTGGGCTATAGTAAATTTTATCCATTATTAATTAATATTGATATTTCGTTTAATACAAATCTGGCTCCAGTGGAAGTGAGCCAGAACCCTTATTACCTATAAAAATTTATATCATTGGCCCCAGGTGGTGGTGAACTGGAGCCAATTTAACTTAATCTCATGACTATCATTAAATCACATAATTCATTTTGACATAAAAAATTCCATCTGTAGTAGCAGTATAGGTATATAAATCCAGCTACAGTGGAAGTGGTCCAGAACCCCCATTACCTATACTACTAAGGTGGACACAACAGTCATGCATTTTACACTTACTAGGAGGGTGGACACAATACCCATGCATGTTACACTGACTGGGTGGATGGAAACAATAGCCAAGCATGTTACACTTACTGGGAGGGTGGACACATCTGTCAAGCATGTTACACTTACTGTGAGGGTGAACACATCTGTCAAGCATGGTACACTTACTGTGAGGGTGGACACAACAGTCATGTATGTTACACTTACTGGGAGGGTGGACACAACAGTCATGCATGGTACACTTACTGTGAGGGTGGACACAACAGCCATGCATGTTACACTTACTGGGAGGGTGGACACAATACCCATGCATGTTACACTGACTGGGTGGATGGAAACAATAGCCATGCATATTACACTTACTGGGAGGGTGGACACACCAGTCATGCATGTTACACTTACTGGAATGGCGGACACATTTGTCAAGCATGGTAGACTTACTGAGAGGGTGGACACATCTGTCAAGCATGGTACACTTACTGTGAGGGTGGACACATCTGTCAAGCATGGTACATTTACTGGGAGGGTGGACACAACAGTCATGCATGTTACACTTACTGGGAGGGTGGACACAACTGTAAAGCATGGTACACTTACTGTGAGGGTAGACACAACTATAAAGCATGTTACACTTACTGGCAGGGTGGACACACAAGTCATGCATGTTACACTTACTGGGACGATGGACACAGGAGCCAAGCATGTTACACTTACTGGGACGATGGACACAGTAGCCAAGCATGTTACACTTACTGGGATGGTGGATAGGTTGTTGACAACTGTGACCACATCCATTAGAGCAGCACTTCTCTGCACCTGGACAGCTGGCATCAGAGCTGCAGTATTCCGCACACGTGCCCATCATTGTACTGTTCCTTGGTGGGCACATGCCAGACTTATCTGCAAGGAAATATTGAGACATAAACTTCTGCTCACAGGCACAAGCAAAGTATTGTAAATTTTAGTTTCACTTTGCATTTTAATCTCCATTACTCCTAATTCTAACAAATTAATGGTTGATGACGGCAATGACTATTATAGTGTCCTACATGTCTTGAATCACATCTGAATTCACATTCAGTTCTGATGAACAATATTGATCAATTTTTATTAAACATAGTGCACATGCAGTTCATAATTCTAGACAAGAGTTCAAGAATACTTACTGATGTTCTGGTTTGGTATCCTTGTCTCGCACTGGTATCCTGTGTAACCTCGGTGACACAAGCAGGAAGTAGAGTTCCCCAGGGGCATGCAAGATCCCCCATTGTAGCAGGTCATGTTGGTACAAGGATCTGCAAACAAAGTGTGGAAGATAAACTATCCCAGGGGTCATACATTGGGATCACACAATACACATGGATAAACAAGCACATTACACTTACTGGGAAGGTGGACACAACAGCCATGCATGTTACACTTACTGGGAGGGTGGACACAATAGCCATGCATATTACACTTACTGGGAGGGTGGACACAACAGCCATGCATATTACACTTACTGGGAGGGTGGACACAGCACCCATGCATGTTACACTTACAGGGAGGGTGGACACAATAGCCATGCATGTTACACTTACTGGGAGGGTGGACACAACAGTCATGCATGGTACACTTACTGGGAGGGTGGACACAGCAGCCATGCATGGTACACTTACTGGGAGGGTGGACACATCTGTCAAGCATGTTACACTTACTGGGAGGGTGGACACAGCATGGTACACTTACTGGGAGGGTGGACACAATAGCCATGCATGTTACACTTACTGGGAGGGCGGACACAATAGCCATGTATGTTACACTTACTGGGAGGGTGGACACAACAGCCATGCATATTACACTTACTGGAACGGTGGACACAATAGCCATGTATGTTACACTTACTGGGAGGGTGGACACAATAGCCATGTATGTTACACTTACTGGGAGGGTGGACACAACAGTCATGTATGTTACACTTACTGGGAGGGTGGACACAACAGCCATGCATATTACACTTACCAGGAGGGTGGACACAATAGCCATGCATGTTACACTTACTGGGAGGGTGGACACAACAGCCATGCATATTACACTTACTGGAACGGTGGACACAATAGCCATGTATGTTACACTTACTGGGAGGGTGGACACAATAGCCATGTATGTTACACTTACTGGGAGGGTGGACACAACAGTCATGTATGTTACACTTACTGGGAGGGTGGACACAACAGCCATGCATGTTACACTTACTGGGAGGGTGGACACAACAGTCATGTATGTTACACTTACTGGGAGGGTGGACACAACAGTCATGTATGTTACACTTACTGGGAGGGTGGACACAAGAGCCATGCATGTTACACTTACTGGGAGGGTGGACACAACAGTCATGTATGTTACACTTACTGGGAGGGTGGACACAACAGTCATGTATGTTACACTTACTGGGAGGGTGGACACAAGAGCCATGCATGTTACACTTACTGGGAGGGTGGACCCAACAGTCATGTATGTTACACTTACACGGAGGGTGGACACAAGAGCCATGCATGTTACACTTACTGGGAGGGGGACACAACAGTCATGTATGTTACACTTACACGGAGGGTGGACACAAGAGCCATGCATGTTACACTTACTGGGAGGGTGGACCCAACAGTCATGTATGTTACACTTACACGGAGGGTGGACACAAGAGCCATGCATGTTACACTTACTGGGAGGGTGGACACAACAGCCATGCATGTTACACTTACTGGGAGGGTGGACACAACAGCCATGCATGTTACACTTACTGGGAGGGTGGACACAACAGCCATGCATGTTACACTTACTGGGAGGGTGGACACATCTGTCAAGCATGTTACACTTACAGGGAGGGTGGACACAACAGCCATGCATGTTACACTTACTGGGAGGGTGGACACAATAGCCATGCATGTTACACTTACTGGGAGGGTGGACACAACAGCCATGCATGTTACACTTACCAGGAGGGTGGACACAAGAGCCATGCATGTTACACTTACAGGGAGGGTGGACACAACAGCCATGCATATTACACTTACAGGGAGGGTGGACACAACAGCCATGCATGTTACACTTACTGGGAGGGTGGACACAATAGCCATGCATGTTACACTTACAGGGAGGGTGGACACAACAGCCATGCATGTTACACTTACTGGGAGGGTGGACACAATAGCCATGCATGTTACACTTACTGGGAGGGTGGACACAATAGCCATGCATATTACACTTACCAGGAGGGTGGACACAATAGCCATGCATGTTACACTTACTGGGAGGGTGGACACAATAGCCATGCATGTTACACTTACTGGGAGGGTGGACACAATAGCCATGCATATTACACTTACTGGGAGGGTGGACACAATAGCCATGCATGTTACACTTACCAGGAGGGTGGACACAATAGCCATGCATGTTACACTTACTGGGAGGGTGGACACAATAGCCATGCATGTTACACTTACTGGGAGGGTGGACACATCTGTCAAGCATGTTACACTTACTGGGAGGGTGGACACATCTGTCAAGCATGTTACACTTACTGGGAGGGTGGACACATCTGTCAAGCATGTTACACTTACTGGGAGGGTGGACACAATAGCCATGCATATTACACTTACCAGGAGGGTGGACACAATAGCCATGCATGTTACACTTACTGGGAGGGTGGACACAATAGCCATGCATGTTACACTTACTGGGAGGGTGGACACATCTGTCAAGCATGTTACACTTACTGGGAGGGTGGACACAACAGCCATGCATGGTACACTTACTGGGAGGGTGGACACAACAGCCATGCATATTACACTTACTGGGAGGATGGACACAATACCCATGCATGTTACACTTACAGGGAGGGTGGACACAATAGCCATGCATGTTACACTTACTGGGAGGGTGGACACAATAGCCATGCATGTTACACTTACAGGGAGGGTGGACACAACAGCCATGCATATTAAACTTACTGAGAGGGTGGACACATCTGTCAAGCATGGTACACTTACTGGGAAGATGGACACATCTGTCAAGCATTGTACACTTACTGGGAGGGTAGACACAGCAGCCATGCATGTTCCACTTACTGGGAGGGTGGACACAATAGCCATGCATGTTACACTTACTGGAAGGGTGGACACAGCAGCCATGCATGTTACACTGACTGGGTGGATTGACACAACAGCCATGCATGTTACACTTACTGGGAGGGTGGACACAGCAGCCATGTATGTTACACTGACTGGGAGGGTGGACACAATAGCCATGCATGTTAAACTTACTGGGAGGGTGGACACAACAGCCATGCATGTTAAATTACTGGGAGGGTGGACACAACAGCCATGCATGTTACACTTACTGGGAGGGTGGACACAACAGCCATGCATGTTACACTTACAGGGAGGGTGGACACAATACCCATGCATGTTACACTTACTGGGAGGATGGACACAATAGCCATGCATGTTACACTTACTGGGAAGGTGGACACAATAGCCATGCATGTTACACTTACTGGGAGGGTGGACACAGCAGCCATGCATGTTACACTTACAGGGAGGGTGGACACAACAGCCATGCATGTTACACTTACAGGGAGGGTGGACACAATACCCATGCATGTTACACTTACTGGGAGGGTGGACACAACAGCCATGCATGTTACACTTACAGGGAGGGTGGACACAATACCCATGCATGTTACACTTACTGGGAGGGTGGACACAACAGCCATGCATGTTACACTTACTGGGAGGGTGGACACAATACCCATGCATGTTACACTTACAGGGAGGGTGGACACATCTGTCAAGCATGGTACACTTACTGGGAAGATGGACACATCTGTCAAGCATGGTACACTTACTGGGAGGGTAGACACAGCAGCCATGCATGTTCCACTTACAGGGAGGGTGGACACAATAGCCATGCATGTTACACTTACAGGGAGGGTGGACACAATAGCCATGCATGTTACACTTACTGGAAGGGTGGACACAGCAGCCATGCATGTTACACTGACTGGGTGGATTGACACAACAGCCATGCATGTTACACTTACTGGGAGGGTGGACACAGCAGCCATGTATGTTACACTGACTGGGAGGGTGGACACAATAGCCATGCATGTTAAACTTACTGGGAGGGTGGACACAACAGCCATGTATGTTACACTTACTGGGAGGGTGGACACAACAGTCATGTATGTTACACTTACTGGGAGGGTGGACACAACAGCCATGCATGTTACACTTACTGGGAGGGTGGACACAACAGCCATGCATGTTACACTTACTGGGAGGGTGGACACAACAGCCATGCATGTTACACTTACTGGGAGGGTGGACACAACAGCCATGCATGTTACACTTACTGGGAGGGTGGACACAACAGTCATGTATGTTACACTTACTGGGAGGGTGGACACAACAGTCATGTATGTTACACTTACTGGGAGGGTGGACACAACAGCCATGCATGTTACACTTACTGGGAGGGTGGACACAACAGCCATGCATGTTACACTTACTGGGAGGGTGGACACAACAGCCATGCATGTTACACTTACTGGGAGGGTGGACACAACAGCCATGCATGTTACACTTACTGGGAGGGTGGACACAACAGCCATGCATGTTACACTTACTGGGAGGGTGGACACAACAGCCATGCATGTTACACTTACTGGAACGGTGCACACAACAGCCATGCATGTTACACTTACGGGGAGGATGTACACAAGAGCCATGCATGTTACACTTACTGGGAGGATGTACACAATAGCCATGCATGTTACACTTACTGGGAGGGTGGACACAGCAGCCATGCATGTTACACTTACTGGGAGGATGGACACAATAGCCATGAATGTTACACTTACAGGGAGGGTGGACCCAACAGCCATGCATGTTACACTTACTGGGAGGGTGGACACAAGAGCCATGCATGTTACACTTACTGGGAGGGTGGACACAAGAGCCATGCATGTTACACTTACTGGGAGGGTGGACACAGCAGCCATGCATGGTTAACTTACTGGGAGGGTAGACACAACAGTCATGCATGTTACACTTACTGGAACGGTGGACACAAAAGCCATGCATGTTACACTTACTGAGAGGGTGGACACAATAGCCATGCATATAACACTTAATGGGAGGTCGGACACAGCATGTTACACTTACTTGGACGATGGACACAGGAGCCAAGCATGTTACACTTACTGGGACGATGGACACAGTAGCCAAGCATGTTACACTTACTTGGATGGTGGATAGGTTGTTGACAACTGTGACCACATCCATGAGAGCAGCACTTCTCTGCACCTGGACAGCTGGCATCAGAGCTGCAGTATTCCACACAAATGCCGATCATTGTACTGTTCCTTGGTGGGCACATGCCAGACTTATCTGCAAGGAAATATTGAGACATCAACTTCTCCTCTGGGGCACAAACAAAGCATTGTAAATTTTAGTTTCACTTTGCATTTTTACCTCCATTGTTTACCATTCCAACAAATTACTGGAACATGCAAGTATAACAACCCAGATACGTAAGGCTGAAAACTTTATGTATCCCCTCAGATTTAACACATGAACCAAAAACCCATGTTTACTCCATATTTCCTAACTAAACAAACGATGCAAAAATGTATTTACTTGACATTCTTGACTCGCAGTTGTATCCCCTGTAACCATGTGGACACAAACAGTAGCTTGAGCCATTACGGACTACACAAGTTCCTCCATTGTAACATGTGAGGGAGCATGAACCTGGAAACAGATGGTTTTGACAGTTAGCTTTTGGACTCTTTATGGACTGCTGACTGTCCAAGTGGTGATCACATGACAGCATTTTCATACTCCCGATTGGTCAAATAATGATGACCTGATAGCGTGATGAGTCTCACAGTTTGTTGATATTGTCCAATTATCTTCACAGGTCAATGAGAAAACATATTTCTCTCACATACATAACAGAACTTAAAGATTTGAAATCACTTGCAGATTATAAAGGTGTGACTGCAAATATTCACATCTCAACAGAGGTCATTCATAGAATCAAAATCTTATATCTTATTACACTGCCAGAGTACTGACATCCTCAATACAATATCCCTTTAACATGGTAGCTGAAAAACAGATATCCCTTTAACATGGAGTCTGAATAACAGATCAATTTAACATGAAACCTGAATAACAGATATCAATTTAACATGGAGCCTGAATAACACTGGTACACTTACTGGGATGGTGGACACAGCATGTTACACTTACTAGGAGGGTGGACACATCTGTCAAGCATGGTACACTTACTTGGAGGGTGGACACATTTGTCAAGCATGGTACACTTACTGGGATGGTGGACACATCTGTCAAGCATGGTACACTTACTGGGATGGTGGACACATCTGTCAAGCATGGTACACTTACTGGGATGGTGGACACATTTGTCAAGCATGGTACACTTACTGGGATGGTGGACACATCTGTCAAGCATGGTACACTTACTGGGATGGTGGACACAACATGTTACACTTACTAGGAGGGTGGACACATCTGTCAAGCATGGCACACTTACTAGGAGGTTGGACACATCTGTCAAGCATGGTACACTTACTGGGATGGTGGACACATCTGTCAAGCATGGTACACTTACTAGGAGGGTGGACACATCTGTCAAGCATGGCACACTTACTAGGAGGTTGGACACATCTGTCAAGCATGGTACACTTACTGGGAGGGTGGACACATCTGTCAAGCATGGTACACTTACTGGGATGGTGGACACATCTGTCAAGCATGGTACACTTAATAGGAGGGTGGACACATCTGTCAAGCATGGTACACTTACTGGGATGGTGGACACAACATGTTACACTTACTGGGATGGTGGACACATCTGTCAAGCATGGTACACTTACTGGGATGGTGGACACATCTGTCAAGCATGGTACACTTAATAGGAGGGTGGACACATCTGTCAAGCATGGTACACTTACTGGGAGGGTGGACACATCTGTCAAGCATGGTACATTTACTGGGAGGGTGGACACAACATGTTACACTTACTGGGATGGTGGACACAACATGTTACACTTACTGGGAGGGTGGACACATCTGTAAAGCATGTTACACTTACTGGGAGGGTGGACACAACATGTTACACTTACTGGGAGGGTGGACACAACATGTTACACTTACTGGGAGGGTAGACACAACATGGTACACTTACTTGGATGGTGGACACATCTGTCAAGCATGGTACACTTACTGGGATGGTGGACACATCTGTCAAGCATGGTACACTTAATAGGAGGGTGGACACATCTGTCAAGCATGGTACACTTACTGGGATGGTGGACACAACATGTTACACTTACTGGGATGGTGGACACATCTGTCAAGCATGGTACACTTACTGGGATGGTGGACACATCTGTCAAGCATGGTACACTTAATAGGAGGGTGGACACATCTGTCAAGCATGTTACACTTACTGGGAGGGTGGACACAACATGTTACACTTACTGGGAGGGTGGACACAACATGTTACACTTACTGGGAGGGTAGACACAACATGGTACACTTACTTGGAGGGTGGACACATTTGTCAAGCATGGTACACTTACTTGGAGGGTGGACACATCTGTCAAGCATGGTACACTTACTGGGAGGGTGGACACATCTGTAAAGCATGTTACACTTACTGGGAGGGTGGACACAACATGTTACACTTACTGGGAGGGTGGACACAACATGTTACACTTACTGGGAGGGTAGACACAACATGGTACACTTACTTGGAGGGTGGACACATTTGTCAAGCATGGTACACTTACTTGGAGGGTGGACACATTTGTCAAGCATGGTACACTTACTGGGAGGTTGGACACAGCATGGTACACTTACTGGGAGGGTGGACAAATCTGTCAAGCATGTTACACTTACTGGGATGGTGGACACATTTGTCAAGCATGGTACACTTACTGGGAGGGTGGACAAATCTGTCAAGCATGGTACACTTACTGGGATGGTGGACACATCTGTCCAGCATGGTGCACTTACTGGGAGGTTGGACACAGCATGTTACACTTACTGGGATGGTGGACACTTCTGTCAAGCATGTTACACTTACTGGGATGGTGGACACATCTGTCAAGCATGGTACACTTACTGGGAGGGTGGACACATATCTGAATTCACATTCGGTACTGATGAACAATATTGATCAATTTTTATTAAACATAGTGCACATGCAGTTCACAATTCTAGACAAGAGTTCAAGAATACTTACTGATGTTCTGGTTTGGTATCCTTGTCTCGCACTGGTATCCTGTGTAACCTCGGTGACACAAGCAGGAAGTAGAGTTCCCCAGGGGCATGCAGGATCCCCCATTGTAGCAGGTCATGTTGGTACAAGGATCTGCAAACAAAGTGTGGAAGATAAAATACTTTGCAAATCAGATCAAACATGTTTGCTGACATTCTACAAAGACATGAATTCATTGAGTGAAATTATTTGAGAAAGTGGTCAATTAGAATTAAAGAATCACAGATAACAGCATAATATGCCAGTGTATATACCACTCAAACATGGTGTGTTTAAGCAAATTACATATCATGCATGAAAGTAGGGTATACAAAAGTGTACTGTTCCTTCGTAAGCCCTACCACTAATGACACATATACCAAGATGGCTGAGTAATGGCCATTAGAAGTCTTTCTAAATATGACAGCCACATTGAAAATCAGATTAGAACCTCTTGAACAAATTAGGCCGGCAGTCAAATTCAGTCAAGTGAGCTAAAAATGGCATTTTCAATATTGCTGCCATGATTAAATGTAAATCATTTTCCTTCGACCACCTCTGAGAGGGCCCATGGGGGCATCAAAAACAGCATCACAAACCAAAATATTTCAGAGTGAAGATCAAAGTTATTTCACACACCACCTATTTACTGACATCAAAGTCATAAGGATACAGGCAGAAATAAGGTAGTCAGGTGAAAACTGACATTTACAATATGTATGATGTGGAGGTAATGTTTAACTCTTTCAACACCAGTCCACCAGGAGCATTTACTGCTGTGACACCAAGTTCCCAGTTAGCAAGGACATTATCTGCTTGTGAAACATCTTTGACTGCATGTCATACACCATTTGAAAGGTCTAATCCTACTGTTTATAAATATGAAAGTTATGTTTATAATATCATTTAAATAATGCATTTACAACTTAATTAAGTTTATTAATTCATAATGTCCAGATAATGACAGAGGAAACACACAGTTTGGTGAGTTTGGGCAATTGGAAGATATCATACTATCCACTTTCTGTTTTTTTCTCATATTGTTTACGTAATGGGAAAATTATCATACAAAGAAAAAAAATGAAAATAATATACCGGTGTATATCATCACCTATTTCCCAATAACAGTGGCTTTTTGCTCAGTAACATAAGAAAATACTGAGAAAAGAACACCTCCGTTTCCGAAGCTTTGTATGAATAGCACAAGTGAAGATTCCTTCGATGTTTGGTCACGTTCGAAAGCTCTGAACATCCGTATTATGACAGCAACCTTGCCAGGAGTATATTTGAAGTTGTAACACGCATTTTTATTGCATAGAAATTGGGTTTCTAATGACACTTTATAGCCGTAAACTGCCATAAGGATCATGATTGGTCAAATTCAAGAATGTGACCTAAGACAGCCAATCAAATTACAGTAATGGATACAGTCCTCGTGTATGAAAATTTTATTGTGTTGTTCTGAAATTTTTAACCATGAAATTGCAACCTATATTGAAAAAATAGATCTTTATGGCATATCGTGCTAAGTTATGACCATTGACAATACTTTAGCATTAAACATCGTGTCCGAGCATGAAAATCACTTGTCTTTCGATCATTACCGTATTTATTCGTGTATAAAATGCACTTTTTTTCACAATTTTTAGACTTAAAACTTAGGGGTCCGTAGTATACACGAAAAACTATATATTACCCCCTTTTCCCCAGCCATACAACGGAAGTCGACCAATGGAACAGACCCTTCCCAGCAGGGACCCTTCCCAGCAGGGACCCTTCCTAGCAGAGACCCATCCCAGCAGGGACCCTTCCTAGCAGAGACCCTTCCAAGTAGGGACCCTTCTTAGCAGAGACCCTTCCTAGCAGAGACCCTTCCTAGCAGTGACCCTTCCTAGCAGTGACCCTTCCTGTCAGGGGTCTATCCCAGCAGAGACCCATCCCAGCAGAGACCCATCCAAGCAGGGACCCATCCCAGCAGAGACCCTTCCTAGCAGAGACCCTTCCTAGCAGAGACCCTTCCTAGCAGAGACCCATCCCAGCAGGGACCCTTCCTAGCAGTGACCTTTCCTGTCAGGGGTCTATCCCAGCAGAGACCCTTCCTTGCAGGAACATTACCTGTTGGTGTGTAACGGACACCAGCGATGACAAGGCCAGCTGTCCTGAGGGTGTACGAGACATTCAGAAACCTCATCTGTTGAGCTGTGGTGAGTTCCTGTGAAAACTGTAGCTGGTAGCCAACAACAGCTGCTCCTGATGCTTGAACTCTGTGTCACAACATGATATAACATTCAACAGTATGAAACAAGACAACCTAACTTTGGATGACCAGGTTACTGTTGTACACACATACCACCTTAAGGCACATTTCCAGTACCAAGCACAATAATATTACATCTATCTTCTACCATGTAGTATTTTGGGGATGGCAAGCAGAAATGGACACCTTTACCAACAAACATGGCCAAAAAGTTAACCCAGTAAGGAAGTAACGTGTACACGAGACGGGTCTCCCGTCTGAGAGGTGGTCACTTGTTTGAGTGACTGTCTGTCAGTGGACCGTGGATTTCTGCATGTTGCACAAAAATGTCTCTACAAGTGTTATTTATGAAAATAATAAAACAAAATTAAGTACAGTTATTCATCATTATACTAGTTACCGTTTGACATGAAAAAAATGTCATAAGAAAAATAATAAACTTGGGAGAAATTGGGAGAATAATGTGCAAAAATTGATTAAGAAGTAATTAATGAAAACAATATTAGCTGTTGAAACCAGCTGTTTTATGTTTGGTCTAAATAAAAAGGTTTCAGCGTCAAAAGTTTTTGCAAAATGGCCATCACTGACCACAGAAATACTTGAAGTACAGTAACATAACACACAGAGAGTGTTGTTCCAATAACCTAGTGATGCACGTAACTTATCAACAATGGCCATTGATCTGCTTGCTACAGCTACCATACAATTCTCTGTGTCACAAACTACCGGCTAACTCTGTCTTGTACGGAACATTAATATAAAATATCAATTAACAGACTGATGTTTAGCATATTTTTTTTTATTGACATTCCCCTCGTTTGATAAATAGAATGGATATTTCTGACAGTAAGAAAGTAAGCTAACTGGAACATCCACTAGCTGTACCATTCCTAACATCGCCTAACAGTCCTGTTTGTGGAAATAGGTACCTGACTCCACATTTAAAGACAAATAAATCAATTATAAGACAATAAAGGCCATGGAATTGAAATTAAATATGTCAAGGCATCATCTGTTGTGTACAAGAGGGTGGTTATGTCCTGAAATGTTATAACATTTGATCACAAGGGCGAAACACAAAAGTGTTTAATGATACACTATTGCTGGTGACACATACAGGCTGGTTACACAAAAGTGTTTAATGATACACTATTACTGGGGACACGTTCAGGCTGGTTACACAAAAGTGTTTAATGATACACTATTGCTGGGGACACGCCGGTTACACCAAAGTGTTTAATGATACACTATTACTGGGGACACGTTCAGACTGGTTACACAAAAGTGTTTAATGATACACTATTACTGGGGACACATACAGGCTGGTTACACAAAAGTGTTTAATGATACACTATTACTGGGGACACGTTCAGACTGGTTACACAAAAGTGTTTAATGATACACTATTACTGGTGACACATACAGGCTGGTTACACAAAAGTGTTTAATGATACACTATTACTGGGGACACATACAGGCTGGTTACACAAAAGTGTTTAATGATACACTATTACTGGGGACACGTTCAGACTGGTTACACCAAAGTGTTTAATGATACACTATTACTGGGGACACGTTCAGGCTGGTTACACAAAAGTGTTTAATGATACACTATTGCTGGGGACACGTTCAGGCTGGTTACACAAAAGTGTTTAATGATACACTATTGCTGGGGACACGGTCAGGCTGGTTACACCAAAGTGTTTCATGATACACTTATGCTGGGGACACATTCAGGCTGGTTACACAAAAGTGTTTAATGATACACTATTACTGGGGACACGTTCAGGCTGGTTACACCAAAGTGTTTAATGATACACTATTGCTGGGGACACGCTGGTTACACAAAAGTGTTTAATGATACACTATTGCTGGGGACACGGTCAGGCTGGTTACACCAAAGTGTTTAATGATACACTTATGCTGGGGACACATTCAGGCTGGTTACACAAAAGTGTTTAATGATACACTATTACTGGGGACACGTTCAGACTGGTTACACAAAAGTGTTTAATGATACACTATTACTGGGGACACATACAGGCTGGTTACACAAAAGTGTTTAATGATACACTATTGCTGGGGACACATTCAGGCTGGTTACACAAAAGTGTTTAATGATACACTATTACTGGGGACACATACAGGCTGGTTACACAAAAGTGTTTAATGATACACTATTACTGGGGACACATACAGGCTGGTTACACAAAAGTGTTTAATGATACACTATTGCTGGGGACACAGGCTGGTTACACAAAAGTGTTTAATGATACACTATTGCTGGGGACACAGGCTGGTTACACAAAAGTGTTTAACGATACACTATTACTGGGGACACGTTCAGGCTGGTTACACCAAAGTGTTTAATGATACACTATTGCTGGGGACACGGTCAGGCTGGTTCAACAAAGTGTGTAATGATACACTATTGCTGGGGACACGCTGGTTACACAAAAGTGTTTAATGATACACTTATGCTGGGGACACATACAGGCTGGTTACACCAAAGTGTTTAATGATACACTATTACTGGGGACACGTTCAGGCTGGTTACACAAAAGTGTTTAATGATACACTTTTGCTGGGCGCAGTAAATAAAAACCTGTTAACTTTGGGTGTCTCAAAAAGATATGATTGACAGTTTATTGACAACTTTGATTTAAAGTAACTTTCTCTTATCTATCTGCTTATGAGAATATTCTGCACATTTTGATAACATTGGCAAAAAGTGCCAATTCCAAGCTCTTTGTTGACCCCAAAACTTAAAATACATTCTCTTTGTAGATTTCTATCATGTTTTCTGCAAGAAATGCACACATCCCTTGAATATTGTAGTAACCACAACTTTGCATTTGGTAACCTATAATTGTACATATAATTATTTAAATATGCCTACTGACATTGACTGAAAAAAAGTACTATTCTATGAATATTAGCTTTGATGGCGATGCAGCCATCAAATCGGCTGTTTCAATCAGAGGGTGTTTATTGTAATTTGACCAATCAGAATCAAGTAATTTACAAATTCATGGTAGAATGTTTGTTTACTTCCACAGATGCCATTTTGTTTACCTTACAATGATCATAAGTTACAGAATCAACACAATGTTGTGAAGGAAATTATAGGTTTCATCCAAATGTTTGGAAAGGCATCAGAACCAGTACTCCCAGATGACCTGTGGACATGGAGCCTTCGGTCACTCTCCGACTGGAAGGACGCCTACTGAGTTGTTAACACTACACAACCTTTGGGGTCCAAACAAGGCTGATAGATAATCAGCGGTCTAGCCGAGGTGGAGTCGTAGGGGGTAGATGACCAACACAATAGTACATGCTTGGCCTACCTAGCATGATCTATGCCACACGTTGCATATCAGAGTTTGACAAAAACAATAGAATATAGTAGTTGTTTATGATCCCTTCAGCGAATTCAGGTAAATAAACAGGTATAACAAACTTAGTCAATAAAAATTTGAACATTGAGATACAACATCACTAGACATGATGATTTACCATTTAAATTGTATGTATTTTCTTGTAAACAAACCTAAAAGTAGCAATCAGCTGTACAAACGTTTTCTAACAATCTACAGAGATTCAGTTAAAAAAACTACCAAATCAAACAACTTCAAAGAATTTCAATGCAATGGTTCAAAGAAATTGTATCTGAAATTATTATTTTATCAGGAATAATATATTTGAATATTGTGTTAATTTAGTTGCAGCTTTTACTATACCTATTTAAAATTATTAAAACCATAAAAGTTGCACTTTGGTACAGCTAATTTCTATTGTCAGATAATTTTTACATATGGAAAATATTGACCAGTCACCATAGGGACTTCCCACGCTACAAGTATTTTGATTACGAAAACATTATGTTGACACCTAATAGTCAAATTGCCACAAATCTGACTTTTAAAGAGTCAAAGTACGGCGTTTTTTATATATGTATCCATTTTCAATAGCGGTAGTCTGATAATGGTTGCTGTAAGGGGGCCTGATGGTGAGTTGGGGAAATCTTACGATCACTTCACACATGATTGCTCCAAAATGAAAATAAACAATATTGAATGAAATTTTGAATAAAATAAGTACAACATATTACAGGGAGTGAGTCCAGATATACAATGAACATGTCTTCATAATCAGATTGTAATAATAGGATTAAATTACGTACTTTAGTTTGGATTTGTTGACTGGTATATTTCCTGTGTTACTCTATTCTTGGTGATCAGCTGGTAATGAATTTTGGGGAAAGAAAGTTCATGTCAGTGTCAAACTTAAGTTTATTAAAAATTAACGTAGATTTTGGGAGCCATGCGTTACCGAAGGGCACAATTGCAAGGGAACACAGTGTACAATCATGTCCAAGATAACTGAAGCGTAATTGAATTCTGTGAGACATGACATAGGTACTTACATCACACCTGTCACATTGACCTTGTTGAAATTGGGGAGACCCTTAAACAGCTGGGACAACTGTAACAGAAATCTCGTGTAAATACATAATGCATAATACACACACATGGGTAGGAGTACTTATGCCTGCAGTCACATCTGCATGCAGTAGAGGGCATACTTACAGCGCTGGTGATGTTGCGTACAAGGCCCCTGTATTCGGCAGAGGAGGTGTTGTTGAAGACTGGACGCAGCCCCATGTACAGCTTGAACTGTCCTGTTACAACTGCCCCCTGGCCTGCAACTAGAACAACTCCCATATAGCATCACAGGGCAGAGAGAGTCACAGCAGTACAAATATGCTGACAGAAACAAATAAGTCCATTTAAACTGAAAAGGAGGCCCTGTGAGACGAGGAAAATCTAGACTTGCTTTACTTCAGGATTCTGCATTACAGTAAGGGGTGGCAGAAGGGAAAATAGTATGGTCGAGGACTGTGGGACAGACAGCACAATTCACTGTGCATAGTTGTGTCCCATTGGTACGTTCTGACCCCAGATTTGCAATGGCTAGATTACTGGTTTGTCATCACCACGCAAGTGCTGGCTGCAAAGTTCCCAAGGCAATAAATATTAAAGACATTAACCAGCACATTAACTTGACATTATGTGATATAATTGAAATACTGTTCAAAGTGTTGTACAAAACAATTGAATTAAACTGTTTGGTGAAAACTTTAGTGTGAACTGCTGTGTGTGTGGAATGTTGTGTGTGAACATTGTGTGAGAACATTGTATGAGAACTGTTGAGTATGGAACATTGTATGAGAACTGTTGTGTGTGAACATTGTGTGAGAACTGTTGTGTGTTTGGACTGTTGTGTGTGGAATGGTGTATGACAACTGTTGTGTGGAACATTGTATGAGAACTGTTGTGTGTGAACATTGTATGAGAACTGTTGTGTGTGAACATTGTGTGATAACTGTTGAGTATGGAACATTGTATGACAACTGTTGTGTGGAACATTGTGTGAGAACTGTTTTGTGTGTGTGTGGAATGTGTGAGAACTGTTGTGTATGGAACATTGTGTGAGAACTGTTGTGTGTGTGTGTGGAATGTGTGAGAACAATTGTGTGTGGAACATTGTGTGAGAACTGTTGTGTGTGTGTGGAATGTTGTGTGAGAACTGTTGTGCGAGAACTGTTGTGTGTGTGAACTGTTGTGTGTGCAACATTGTGTGAGAACTGTTGTTTGGACTGTTGTGTGTGGACTGTTGTGTGTGGAACATTGTATGAGAACTGTTGTGTGTGAGGAACATGGTGTGAGAACTGTTGTGTGTGTGTGGAATGTTGTGTGAGAACTGTTGTGTGAGAACTGTTGTTTGGACTCTTGTGTGTGCAAGATTGTGTGAGAACTGTTGTGTGTGTGTGTGTGTGGAATGTTGTGTGAGAATTGTTGTGTGTGGAATGTTGTGTGAGAACTGTTGTGTGTGGAATATTGTGTGAAAACTGTTGTGTGTGGAATATTGTGTGAAAACTGTTGTGTGTGGATTGTTGTGTGTGAGAACTGTTGTGTGTGAGAACTGTTGTGCATGAGAACTGTTGTCTGTGGACTGTTGTGCATGGACTGTTGTGTGTGAGGACTGTTGTGTGTGAGGACTGTTGTGTGTGGACTGTTGTCTGTGGACTGTTGTGTGTGAGGACTGTTGTGTGTGGACTGTTGTGTGTGGACTGTTGTGTGTGAAGACTGTTGTGTGTGGACTGTTGTGTGTGGACTGTTGTCTGTGAGGACTGTTGTGTGTGGACTGTTGTGTGTGAGGACTGTTGTGTGTGGACTGTTGTGTGTGAGGACTGTTGTGTGTGAGGACTGTTGTGTGTGAGGACTGTTGTGTGAGAACTGTTGTGTGGACTGTTGTGTGTGCAAGATTGTGTGAGAACTGTTGTGTGTGTGTGTGTGTCTGGAATGTTGTGTGAGAACTGTTGTGTGTGGAATGTTGTGTGAGAACTGTTGTGTGTGGAATATTGTGTGAAAACTGTTGTGTGTGGAATATTGTGTGAGAACTGTTGTGTGTGAGAACTGTTGTGCATGAGAACTGTTGTCTGTGGACTGTTGTGCGTGGACTGTTGTGTGTGAGGACTGTTGTGTGTGAGGACTGTTGTGTGTGGACTGTTGTCTGTGGACTGTTGTGTGTGAGGACTGTTGTGTGTGGACTGTTGTGTGTGGACTGTTGTGTGTGAGGACTGTTGTGTGTGTGGACTGTTGTGTGTGGACTGTTGTGTGTGAGGACTGTTGTGTGTGGACTGTTGTGTGTGGACTGTTGTTTGTGAGGACTGTTGTGTGTGGACTGTTGTGTGTGAGGACTGTTGTGTGTGGGCTGTTGTGTGTGAGGACTGTTGTTTGAGGACTGTTGTGTGTGAGGACTGTTGTGTGCGGACTGTTGTGTGTGAGGACTGTTGTGTGTGAGGACTGTTGTCTGTGGACTGTTGTCTGTGGACTGTTGTGTGGGAGGACTGTTGTCTGTGGACTGTTGTGTGTGAGGACTGTTGTGTGTGGACTGTTGTGTGTGGACTGTTGTGTGTGAGGACTGTTGTGTGTGGGCTGTTGTGTGAGGACTGTTGTCTGTGGACTGTTGTGTGTGGACTGTTGTGTGTGTGGACTGTTGTGTGTGAGGACTGTTGTGTGTGGGCTGTTGTCTGTGTGAGACATGTTGCTTGTGTTCTATTAGGAGTGGACCATTATGACTTATGGATGGGCCATTATAATGAAAAATTACAATGTCTTTCAGGCTTATTGTAATGTTAAGTTATTAACTTGAACGATAAAGGTGTTATTTGAAAATGTCTGTTGTTGTAGGCCAGTTGTTGTATTTTTCTTTGCAATAAACAAAAAAGAAAAGAAAAAAAGAATAAAGTTCATTTCAATAAAGCATAATATTTAAAAAAAATGTTTTGCTATTTTAAATATTCATGACCCCACTGGCAGATCCAGAGGAAGTGTGCAGTGGTTCGCAACAACCTTTTTTCAGGCACCTGACATGTTAACCCCTTCCTTGGTCAGTAACTGTAATGTGGGTTTTAAATGCATCCCCTTTTTCCAAACCTGGATCCGCCTCTGTTCAGTTTAAATGGGCCATGTTATTCTGCCTGCTGTTGACTCTATGTGTATGTATTCAGAGTACACTGTCACTGACTGTTACAGCTACACTGTTTGTTTGTTGTTTGTTGTTTTGAGGTCGCACTCGGCAATATTCCAGCTATATGACAGCAGTCTGTAAGTAATTGAGTCTGGACCAGACAATCCAGTGATTGACATCATGAGCATCAATCTACACAATTGGGATACAATGACATGTAACTACCAAGTCAGCAAGCCTGACCTCCTGATCCAGTTAGTCGCCTCTTACGACAAGCACAGTTGCCTTTTATGGCAAGCATGGCTTGGTGAATACCTATTCTATCCCGGATCTTCACGAGAAGAGAACTGTTGTGTATAAATATTGTATTTTATCACTCATGAATACCCTTTTCTCAGTGTATCAGTCAATAGACCAACAGTTAGAAACTGTACCCAATACATCTCAAAGAGTGTAACTGTTTGCTTCAAGAAACATGCCACACACTTACCTCCTGAACAGTCAGTGGGTTTGGTGTAGCTCTTTGTATGTCCAGGTAGAATCTCACCAGTTCTTGTGTTGGCACAGTAGCACTGCCGAGAGTTCAAGTTGTCCATACTGACCTCACACTGGACTGAGCTGAAGCCTTGCCCAGTACACTCCCACTGGTGCAGCACCTGGTTGCTGGAGTTCCGCAACAGGCTTTTCATCTTATTAGTATCAATGATAGTTCTCAGACTGTTAAGAGTGGCGTTCCTCATGTCTGTGGTGTTCAACATGTAGATGATGTAGCTCTGTAGCCGCTGTTGATGCTGACAGTCAGTCAGGCTCACTGCAGAAAATGTTTGGAAATAATTGTAAGCATTGTTAGCATTGTTAATTCATTGGTTACTGTGTTTTTTTAAAAGAAGCATAAAGATGCTTTTTAAAGGCCCTTCACCATCTACCCACCTCCAGGTGCTCCAGCATCTTCACACAAGACACCATTGCGAGTGCTGGGGCACTGGCAGATCTCCCCACCAGCAATGTCACCAACACATGGAGCAGTGGAGCCAAACAGTGTGCACAGGTCCAAGTTACTGGCAGCCTCCTTCAGTTTAGCGCAGACAGAATCTGAAACCAAGGTATCACAGAAAATATATTTTATCACTGATATGCTCCCCACTATACTTCAGCCCCAGAGAACTTCTATTCACTGACATGCTCCCTCATTATACTTCAGCCCCAGAGAACTTCTATTCACTGACATGCTCCCTCCCTATACTACAGCCCCAGAGAGGTTCTATTCACTGACATGCTCCCTCCCTAGACTACAGCCCCAGAGAGGTTCTATTCACTGACATGCTCCCTCCCTAGACTACAGCCCCAGAGAACTTCTATTCACTGACATGCTCCCTCCCTAGACTACAGCCCCAGAGAGGTTCTATTCACTGACATGCTCCCTCCCTAGACTACAGCCACAGAGAGGTTTTATTCACTGACATGCTCCCTCCCTAGACTACAGCCACAGAGAACCTCTATTCACTGACATGCTCCCTCCCTATACCACAGCCTCACAGAGGTTCTATTCACTGACATACTCCCTCCTTATACTACAGCCCCAGAGAGGTTCTATTCACTGACATGCTCCCTCCCTATACTACAGCCCCAGAGAACTTCTATTCACTGACATGCTCCCTTCCTTTACTACAGCCTCAGAGAACCTCTATTCACTGACATGCTCCCTCCCTTTACTACAGCCCCAGAGAACTTCTATTCACTGACATGCTCCCTCCCTAGACTACAGCCTCACAGAGGTTCTATTCACTGACATGCTCCCTCCCTAGACTATAGCCCCAGAGAACTTCTATTCACTGACATGCTCCCTCCCTATACTACAGCCCCAGAGAGGTTCTATTCACTGACATGCTCCCTCCCTAGACTACAGCCCCAGAGAGGTTCTATTCACTGACATGCTCCCTCCCTAGACTACAGCCCCAGAGAACTTCTATTCACTGACATGCTCCCTCCCTAGACTACAGCCCCAGAGAGGTTCTATTCACTGACATGCTCCCTCCCTAGACTACAGCCACAGAGAGGTTTTATTCACTGACATGCTCCCTCCCTAGACTACAGCCACAGAGAACCTCTATTCACTGACATGCTCCCTCCCTATACCACAGCCTCACAGAGGTTCTATTCACTGACATACTCCCTCCTTATACTACAGCCCCAGAGAGGTTCTATTCACTGACATGCTCCCTCCCTATACTACAGCCCCAGAGAACTTCTATTCACTGACATGCTCCCTTCCTTTACTACAGCCTCAGAGAACCTCTATTCACTGACATGCTCCCTCCCTTTACTACAGCCCCAGAGAACTTCTATTCACTGACATGCTCCCTCCCTAGACTACAGCCCCAGAGAACTTCTATTCACTGACATGCTCCCTCCCTAGACTACAGCCCCAGAGAACTTCTATTCACTGACATGCTCCCTCCCTAGACTTCAGCCCCAGAGAACTTCTATTCACTGACATGCTCCCTCCCTATACCACAGCCTCACAGAGGTTCTATTCACTGACATGCTCCCTCCCTAGACTACAGCCCCAGAGAGGTTCTATTCACTGACATGCTCCCTCCCTATACCACAGCCTCACAGAGGTTTTATTCACTGACATGCTCCCTCCCTATACCACAGCCTCAGAGGTTCTATTCACTGACATGCTCCATCCCTTTACTACAGTCTCACAGAGGTTCTATTCACTGACATGCTCCCTCCCTATACCACAGCCTCACAGAGGTTCTATTCACTGACATGCTCCCTCCCTATACCACAGCCTCACAGAGGTTCTATTCACTGACATGCTCCCTCCCTAGACTATAGCCCCAGAGAACTTCTATTCACTGACATGCTCCCTCCCTATACCACAGCCTCACAGAGGTTCTATTCACTGACATGCTCCCTCCCTAGACTATAGCCCCAGAGAACTTCTATTCACTGACATGCTCCCTCCCTAGACTACAGCCCCAGAGAACTTCTATTCACTGACATGCTCCCTCCCTATACTACAGCCTCACAGAGGTTCTATTCACTGACATGCTCCCTCCCTATACCACAGCCTCAGAGGTTCTATTCACTGACATGCTCCCTCCCTAGACTACAGCCCCAGAGAGGTTCTATTCACTGACATGCTCCCTCCCTAGACTACAGCCTCAGAGGTTCTATTCACTGACATGCTCCATCCATTTACTACAGTCTCACAGAGGTTCTATTCACTGACATGCTCCCTCCCTATACCACAGCCTCACAGAGGTTCTATTCACTGACATGCTCCCTCCCTATACCACAGCCTCACAGAGGTTCTATTCACTGACATGCTCCCTCCCTAGACTTCAGCCCCAGAGAACTTCTATTCACTGACATGCTCCCTCCCTATACCACAGCCTCACAGAGGTTCTATTCACTGACATGCTCCCTCCCTAGACTATAGCCCCAGAGAACTTCTATTCACTGACATGCTCCCTCCCTAGACTACAGCCCCAGAGAACTTCTATTCACTGACATGCTCCCTCCCTATACTACAGCCTCACAGAGGTTCTATTCACTGACATGCTCCCTCCCTATACCACAGCCTCAGAGGTTCTATTCACTGACATGCTCCCTCCCTAGACTACAGCCCCAGAGAGGTTCTATTCACTGACATGCTCCCTCCCTAGACTACAGCCCCAGAGAGGTTCTATTCACTGACATGCTCCCTCCCTAGACTTCAGCCCCAGAGAGGTTCTATTCACTGATATGTCATTTATGAGTGCTTGGTGATTGCTTGGGGAGTGCTTTATGATAGCTTGGTGATTGCTTGGTGATTGATGATAGCTTGGTGAGTGCTTGGTGATATCTTGGTGAGTGCTTGGTGAGTTCTTGGTGATTGCTTGATGATAGCTTGGTGAGTGCTTGGTGGGTGCTTGGTGAGTTCTTGGTGATTACTAGGTGAGTGCTTGGTGTGTGCTTGGTGATTGCTTGATGGGTGCTTGATGAGTGCTTGATAAGTGGTGATTGAGTGCTTGATGAGTGCTTGACAAGTGCTTTATGATTGCTTTGTGAGTGCTTGGTGATTGATGATAGCTTGGTGAGTGCTTTATGAGTGCTTTGTGATTGTTTGATGATAGCTTTATGAGTGCTTTGTGATTGTTTGATGATAGCTTTATGAGTGCTTTGTGATTGTTTGATGATAGCTTTATGAGTGCTTTGTGATTGTTTGATGATAGCTTTATGAGTGCTTTGCACATACAAACTAACAACATCTGTTCAGCTGTACATACTTTCACAGGTGCTTCCATAGTAACCACGTGGACATATGCAGGAAGGTTTGCCATTAGGTCCTACCACACAGCTTCGTCCAACATCACATGAAACCGCTGCGCACTGATCTGGAATAGGAAGAAGGTACAAAGGTGATCATTAAACAGCAGCCTAATCATGCTCTTTGCATTGCTTAAAGAGGGACAAGGCTCCACATTCTTGTGTCCATGCAAGTTTCAATCTGGATATTGTCTCTGTGAACACTGTCCCTGTGAACTTATGGACATTTCTGAGAGATATACTTGATAACATTAGAGTCTTGCTAGAACTGCTTATTGGTGTTTAAGTCTTCATGTTTGTCTGAGACAAAGACATGAATCAGGGGGTTCCATAAGACACCACAAACAGTGTGTTTGGAGGACATAATTAACATACTAGGCAAGATGGTGGTACAAACGAAGTTCTGACGTCACACACATGACATTGTACAAATGATGTCATACACAAATGCTGGTAGTAGTGAGAGTACTTGTCACAATTGACATCAACCATGTCTCCCTTAATGTAACAAATGGGAGTTACTTTACTGATGGTCAAAGGTAGTTCACATATAACACCTGCCATTTCAAAAATAATTCATTCATTGTCGACCCTATTCACAAAACCATGAGCTCCAAATGATAAAATGTATTTACCAAATCACAAATATTGTTATCAATGTGATAATCCAAGACCTTTGGCATCACAGTCTGATAATTATGCAAATGAGGTTGCCTAGCAGGAACGACATCTTGTAAGATCTATCCATCAAGGTGCTGCCTCCTTGCTCACACACTATTGCCTAACTTACCCAAAACATTTAGACAGGAGTTTAGATGATGTGCGTGTGCTTTCGTAAACAAACATTGATGAAAATGACCTACATGACAGACAGCATCTACCCACATGACAGAATACATGTACCAACATGACAGACTGTATCTACCAACATGACAGACTGCATCTACCAACATGACAGACAGCATCTACCCAGATGACAGATTGCATCTACCCACCTGACATATTGCATCTACCCACATGACAGACAGCATCTACCCACATGACAGACAGCATCTACCCACATGACAGACTGCATCTACCCACAAGACAGACTGCATCTACCCACATGACAGACTGCATCTACCCATATGACAGACAGCATCTATCCACATGAAAGACAGCATCTACCCACATGACAGACAACATCTACCCACATGACACATTGCACTCCTGCATCTACCCACATGAAGAACTGCATCTACCCACATGACACACTGCATCTACCCACATTACAGATTGCATCTATCCACATGACAGACAGCATCTACCCACATGATGACAAGTCACTAGATATCACAGTTTCATGAGGCATGACTTACCTGTTGTCTGGCTTGAAACTGTGGCAGCCAGTGCAAGAACAGCGAAGAGGTATACTCCCCGCATCTTTTGAAACAATCCACTCAGTTAAGTCCTTTCTGAAACAACACATATAAATCAATATTAGAAAGCTATGCGATAAATCACAAAGAACGTTAACAATGAAGAGCAAAGGGTGGTTTATTTCACGATAAAACATTGTTCTATCATGACATCATTTCTTGTGCTCGCAACTTGATGACATCATAAATTGGACAACGTTACTTTTTAGAGGGAAGTCTCTATAGTGAGTTGTTCCCCCTAGATGAAGCAGGACAGGGCAGATGAATGCAATGGCTGAATGATTGCATCCAAAAGTGGGAGAGATATGCGTTCGGTATTGGGAGAAAAGGTTCAAATAATCGGCATGCAAATTGTGAGAATATGTGAGAAAGACCAAATTTAAACCCTGTGGTGTACCCTAGTGGTTAAAGTGTTCACTCATCACGACAAAGACCCAGTTTCGATTCCCCACATTGTGTGAAGCCCATTTCTGGTGTCGCCTGCTGTGATAATGCTGAAATATTGCTAAAAGCAACATAAAACAATAGTCACTCACACATCCATAAATTGGACTTGTCTGACATTGCCGCAGTCGGAATTTATTCAGGGAGTCATCATTACTTAAACAAGGGTAAATATTTTTAAAGCTTGTGCTTTTTACTAACATCCTTAAAGAGATGTTTGATAGGCATAACTTTTTTCAGATGTTGACGGATGACAAAGTTGACACAATTTAGGGACAACAACTTCTTTAATTTCTGTGAGGACGATGTTTAAAGCTACAAAATGTTAGATAAATGATATCTTTCATATGCTGAGGTTATCACGCTTGTGTGTTTTGGAATGGTATAGAGCCTTATACCGTTGTCTAGCAAGACTGTTGAGTGCCATGTCTCCATGAAGACAACAAATGAATTGTTTGACAGACATTACTTAGAAGTTGACGGATGACAAAGTAGACACAATTTGGGGACAACAACTTCTTTAATTTCTGTGAGGGCGATGTTTAAAGGTACAAAATGTTAGATGAATGATATCTTTCATATGTTGAGGTTATCACGCTCAATCCCTATACTTCATCCTGTGTAAGAAATAAACACTGTATATAGCAAGCCTTGGCAAGCTAAATACACAGTGTTTTTTTCTCAATACATGATATTTACCATCCCAAAACTCACAAGCGTAATAACCTCCTTGTTATATTTTGTTATTCTTAAATAAAAATATACAACATTTCTCGCAAACGGTTCCAAAATGGTTTCCTGGAATGAGAGCATTAATATATTACATCACAAGCTCAGCGATTAGTCAGTCTGACAGTGACCAAGGTTAATATCGTTCCACCTGAAACTTGTGTTTAAACAGTGGCCTAACTACCATATAGGCAAAGTTTATAGTTTTGTAAGGTAAGTTTTGTAAAGGTAAATAACTTTGTGTTAATAATTGTCGTTTGCGGCAATCCATAGGTTCCGCTGAAGTAGTTGCTCTTCATCAAGGGAGAAGCAGCCTTTTATAACTGGCATAGGTTGTTTAAGATGTATTCCAACCAGCATCCCCACACTGGGGACTGGAGTGCACACTGATCCATTGATCATGGCAACAACTGTGTACCACCATGAGTGAGTGAGTATGGTTTGACGCCGCTTTTAGCAATATTCCAGCAATATCACAGCTGGGGACACCAGAATTTGGCTTCACACATTGTACCCATGTCGGGAATCGAACCCGGGTCTTCGGCATGGCAAGCTGACGCTTTAACCACTAGGCTACCTGACCTCCCCTTGTACCACTATGAACAGGCTTTAGTGCATGGATACTGCACAACATCAACATGCATGAATCATTGTAATTATTGATCTTTAATACTGTATTCGACCTAATAAGCGCCCAGGTGCTCTCAAAATTAGAATTAGGGGGCTCTTTTTAGAATATAATTTCAGTGGGGAAAAAAAAGTGTTGAAAGATCGTAAACTTCGTGGTTTATGCTGACAGCCTGAAATGATACAAAAGAAAAGCCTGTGTGTATTATACACGACACATATATGTTCCAGAACTTAACTGCCCATAATTAAGGGTGCATATAACATGTGCGTATTATACACGAATAAATCAGTCTTGTGTACATTTATCAGTCGGAAGGGGTGCTAATTGGGATTGTTCACTAGCCAATATATTAGCAAATATCGCCGTGGGCGCTTATTAGAGCGGGGCGTTTACGTTGAATACGGTACATAAATAACCATAAATGGGTCATAAATTGTCAACCAAAATGCAGTTTTGGATGAATATACAAGGATATCCATATTAATTGTTTGATATACATTCACTAAAGAAAATACTGTGAAATTTTGGAAGTTGGTTGAACCATCCGAAGTACATCACTAAGTAGGAGCCAAGCTGAAGACAGTTATAAGGTATTGATAAGGAAGTTAGCTACCTGTACTTTTAGGCTTCACTGAGCTAATAGATTCTGATCACGCTATGAAGATTCCTGGGTCAGGCTCTCTGACTTAGTTGATGCACGTAATCGCATCCCAATTGCATAGATTGATAATATCGACGTCAATCACTGGATTATCTGGCTCAGACACAATTATTTACAGATCATCGTCATATTACTGGAGTTGACCAGTTCTAAAGTATATTTATATTAACTAATCATTCTATTAGTATATTAACTAATCATTTTATTAGTATATCAACTAATCATTTTATTTACAACTATATTTACTGTGACAGTGGGACTATTCTTTTCTAAAAGTGTCACATTAGTAATATTCCTAATAAGAATCAACTAACCCCCTGCAGTGTCCTGGGCAATTCCTTCAGTCAGGTTTGCAAGAACCACACTGCTTTTGCTTCCAAAACTAAGACTTTGGAAAACATTTAGGAATAATTTTATTTTTTAAAAAGGTTCTTTGACAATAAAAAACCTTCCACGATCTTTTCTTGTTTCACCAGACAATCCTCCTTACTGTGAAGGAGCTTCTAAACCTGATCAGCTATGCATGGCATCTTATTAAATCACCAAGGAACATGGCCAGGAGTGTCAGTCTCACAACATCTCATTATGTTAGATTAGATGGGGATGAGTAGGAGAGCTATTTTTAACACTCCTCCACACGACGTGCAAACAGTTTGTAAGAACATGAGTCCGTCATTGTCCCTCTTATGGCCAATATCCAAATAACTGTAGGACATGAACCGTTGTCCCCTTTAACATAAGTAGTATCATACGGGAAAGTCAAGACTGACGGCTGACTTAGACAATGTAGCAATCATAGCAGCACTCCAAATGTTGACTGATTATTGCTGTCAGTTGAATCTGATTTTACCAGTTTAACTCAATAAATACCTACTGGACAATTAACTGGTGTCAGCCAGGCAAGGAAGTCCCCCTGAACTCATAAACATGCATATCATAGCTATTTGTATATTTATATATCCATTTATCTGGTATAACTGTTCACGAGATCTATGTACTACAAATGTTGACGGATGTGACTGACAGAAAGCAAACATGACGTATATGGTGTATATCATCAAGTATGGGAACTTTTCACATCTGTAGGTACTTGGGGACATAAAAACTATATGAGGCAACCAGTTTTATTTTCATTCCTATTTATGTTTTGTTTTTTTGTTGCTTAATGCCGCACTCAGCAATATTCCACCTATATGAGAGCGGTTTCTAAACAACTGACTCTGGACCAGACAATCCAGTGACTGACATGACCACTGATCCATGCAAATGGGATGCAATCAGATGCATCAACCAAGTCAGTGAGCCTGACCACCCGATCCCGTTAGTTACCTCTTGCAACAAGCATAGTCGCCTTTTACGGCACGCATTGGTTGCTGAAGACCTATTGTAACCCATGTCTTCACGGATCTTCTTCTCCACCCTATTTATGGTAAATCTATCAAATATTTTACATGAAGCAGAGAGTGAGTGAGTTTTAACACTGCTTAAACAGTATTTCAGTTATGTCAGCTCTATGTGGGGGCACAGCCCAAAATGATGCAGACATTTATTACATAGGTATGGTGCTGACTAGTTTTGGTAATTGGTTGAAAAATCATCATTGATGACTGGATCATATCAACTAATCGATCATCAAAATTAATCATTTGGCATCATTTGTCTGTTTTTCAATGTGAACTTTGAACAGTAAAACTGGATCACACCTAACTAACTAACTACTTCAGCACCTTATTTTAAAAAAAACTGGCCTGACTCTTTCTCCCTTTCATCTCCAAATACTAGTTCTAAGTGGTACTTACACCTAATCAGGAAACAAAACTAAGGTTTAAGAGAGCAATATTGTTTTTCCATTACAAAAATTATGTGATCAACAATTAAATCACTGAATTTCAGCAAGTCTAAGCATGTAAGTGTGTACAGCATACTGGGGCGCTTTACTCGACTGACAAGCCTGTGTTCCATAGGTGTTGGTGACAGGAGGCACAGTGTAACTGTACACTCAGAGATGGACCTAGTGACATCATGTCAACTTGTGGCCTTTGAATGAGAAGGCTGTATGTGCTAAGAGACCCACCATTCATATTCAGGGTATGGATTGTCGTTTGAGACATAATAAAGTATTAGTCGCTAATTCAAAACGCTACATTATTTTCTGTGAAGGAGGCAATGAGCAATTTAGTGTCTTCACAACAGAAGCATTTAAGGACGTCCAGCAAGTCCAATGAGCATAAAAATTTCTGTACTTTTTTCCTGTTTTCTTTCCGGAACAAATTATTTTCTTTAAAAAGGTCCTAGGCAACCTTCCCCTGCCTCTCAGAAAATCAAATGGTCAGTCACCAAAGCTCTAGTTTAACACAAGATATGAGCTGGCTGCATCACAAACACCATAATAATGTATTTACTGACTCAGAATGGTGCTATCACTGGAATAAGTCTGCAGTAGTTGTATTAGACAGCTGTCTAGGTTCATAAGTGGTTGTCATAACTGGTGATTAACTAGATGGTGGTCAGGCTCACTGACTTGGTTGATGCTTGTCATTGTATCCCAATTGCATAGACAAATGCTGACGT